CTCGGTACACCTGGGTGTACCGAGCGGTATACCGTACCGTACCGGTACCGAGCCCGGGTCGAAACGCCGGTACGGTACGGTACGGTGAACCTTGGTTTGGATTATGGTAAAACAAAAAGCTTGCTCAAATACTAAGCTTTACTGGATAGCGGACACAAGATGATTTTTGACTGTACTAGGTCAACATCGTCGAAGGTTGCAGGGTAGGAGATGCATCAGATGTATGCTATATGATACAATAATTAGGATGTTATGATGCATATCAGCTTTGACCTGGGTAGATCTGCCCTGAACCTGCTTAGATCAGTCCTGGCCAAAAATCAGCTAGGCCAGCCACCCTTGGAGGTCCGGATGGAGGCTTGTTGATAGCTATGTTGTTTCCTAATCATTTAATGGTTAATGCCTGCACTTAGCATTTTTTTGCTAATAATATTAACATTAATTTACATGACAGTTAATAATTGATGCTCAAGAAGTTGTTTCATTTTACTTATAATGATCTGACTTTTGCAGCAAAAATCATCAACTACAAGTGACTCTAGTTGGAAGGAGAGGGAAGCTGCTGTTTTGGCTATTGGGGCCGTAGCAGAGGGATGCATTAATGGATTATACCCCCATATTCCTGAGGTACAGCTTTTACACTAGATAGTTGAAGGGGTAGTACCACAGTGCGACTACTATTTAGTTCTGTTCTAAGAAACAAACTATTATGGAGTATGATTTCTTACTTCTGCTTATTATATTTTGTCAATTTTCTTGCTTTAGTTTGGTGTTGAGAAGGATATCAATACTTGAGAGTCTTTTATTAAATTGTAATGGCCTGCATTCTAATGTTACAAAATCAATTTTTAATCTTACAAGTACCTAAGCCCATTTATAGTATAGTGTAGAAACCTTTAGCTCTCTTGCTTGGTCAAAATAATCTTGTCTACTAAAAAAGGAAAATGGCATGAAGTGATCAGCTACTGTGTTCTCTATGAATTTTATGTTTAAATGATGTTTGTTATGATCTGGTTTCCAAGAACTGAAAACTAATTTTCTATTATCAGTTAGCATACTACAGAAGTAATGCTTTTTAATTGTATGAGTTGTTATTTGAGTCTGACCAAAATTTCTTATGGCCTTTATGGTAGTTATCTTCTAATGATTCCTGATCTAATTTTTATCCATCTTTTCCTGGTATTTGGTATTTTTAAAGTTTTAGCAAGTGGTCCATTTCTTGTTTGGTTGTGGGACTTTCTTGTGAAAGGACTTATGTTAAAGTTTCTCTAGCTATTCTCATTTAGTTTTCTTGTGTAGGACTTGCTTCTATTTTGTGCTAAACTGATGTACTTGTGAATATTGTATTGCTTTCTGTTACAAATTTTTAGATATCTATGATTTTATGTATTTGCAAATCTCAATGCACTTTGTCTTAGAAATTTTTTGTCTGCATTTAAATAACTGGTGTGTTATGATTTGGTTTACAGATTGTGACATTCCTCATTCCACTTTTGGATGATAAATTTCCACTTATACGGAGTATCACTTGTTGGACACTTTCTCGTTTTAGCAAGTTCATCATTCAGGTATAGCTAATATCTGCTTTGTTGCAATATTGAGACAAACACCTTTTTTCATATTTTATTTAGGTTCGATCAATGTCAATAGTGTGGGAATTTATTTAATTTTTCATTAGTGCCATTTTATCCATTCCATCTAATTCATATTTTTTGCTTTGATATAAAATAAAGGTGTATTAGTAATTATGTTGGTGTCGTAAAGGATATTTATGATAGTTACTGTTGATAAAAGCTGTCTATTGAGTTTTCTATTAGTACAGAAATACACCAATGATTCATATTAAGTTATACTTTTTCACAAGGATAGTAGACGAACTTACTAGTCATGTTCAGGATAAACCTCGTCGACTTATTTTTTTGTTGATATTATTTTAATTGATGAGAGTTTAAGCAGAATTAATTTTAAATTTGAGTCACGGAGATAAACCTTGAAACTAGAGGTTTCAAATTGGGTAGGATTAAGACTAAATGTATAATTAAGACTAAGGTTTATGGAAATAGTCTCTTTAAATATTTAAATGTAAAGCTGCATACATTGACCCTTCTCACACCTCGCCTTGCCTCGTGCAATGGATACACCCTTTAGATGTTGGCTTAGTAATTGTAAGTGACATTTTAGGATATAGTTAAGTTGGATGCAGGAAATTTCATTAATTAAAAAAATTTAGATATCTTGCATCAATTGTTCAAAAAGAGGGAGAGATAGATGGAGATCTTATTCAGAGTAAAAATTGGATGGTTAAACAAAGAGGGACATTAGTAGTTTTGTATTATAAATAGGTTCCATTTATATTAAAAGGAAAATATATAAGATTGTTGATAGACTAGGGAAGCTTTATGGATCTGAGTTTTTGGGTAGATAAGGAATAATATATACAAAAGTTTGTATAGTTAAGATAAGAATGTTAAAGTTGATGCATGGAGTTACTAGGAATGATGAGAAAATGATCTCATTCGTGAAAAATATGGTGTAGTAGAGGTAGAGATGAGGAGTGCATGTTGAAGTTTATATGTGGAGAATCATTTGAGATAGTACAAACATGGGCTAAGGAGACCTATATATTTTGTAGTTAGAAAATATGAAATAATCAATATTAATGGTATGAATAGACGTATAAGAAGACCAAAGGCTTTTAGAAACTATTAATAAAGACATAAATGCTCTGAATTTAACTAAGATTTATGATTTTTTATAGAACTCAATGGCAGATATAGTGGACCCCAACTCATTATCAAATTGCTCCCTTATAATTTTTTATAAATGTTAACCGGCTTTCTTATCCTTGCTTTCCTTATTCATAGTACTTGTGGTTTTCTCATCTTATTTCAAGAGGGAAACAGCATATGGACAACTTAATTCTGTTTGCCTGCTTTGCAGAATATTGGTCACAGAGATGGTTATGAACAATTTGACAAAGTTCTAATGGGAGTTCTGAGAAGAATATTGGATTCCAACAAGCGAGTGCAAGAGGCTGCATGTTCTGCTTTTGCAACACTTGAAGAGGTTATGGTTAAGTTTGTAGCTTGATGATTTTCCTGTCTGTATGCTTTCTTTACCAACAGAGACTCACTACATGCAGGAGGCTGCAGAGGAATTGGCCCCACGTCTGGAAATCATTTTGCAGCATTTGTTATGTGCTTTTGGGAAATATCAGGTTTCTTCTAGATCTTATGGTTTAGATTTAGATCTTTATTTTCTCTGCAAATGGAGTTATGCATGTCATGAATAGAAGTCAATTAGAAGAAGTTCTATGTTATTTTGTCCCTTTTCACTATAATATTCTTTATCCAGAGGCGGAACCTTCGAATTCTTTATGATGCTATCGGTACTCTAGCAGATGCAGTCGGTTCAGAACTCAATCAGGTTCTGTGGTTTTTGCAAGCTTGTGCTTCTTTTTGCTATGTCATTCACCTTCCACATAAATTTGGATAGAATTTAGATTCAGATTCTTAAATTGTGGTTTCATGAATACAACATATCTGAATGCTAATTTGATGTGCTGCTAAACTACAGCCAAAATACCTTGACATATTGATGCCTCCATTAATCGCTAAGTGGCAACAACTTGCAAACACTGACAAAGATCTCTTTCCATTGCTTGAGTGCTTTACATCCATTGCACAGGTATATGAGTTCTTAACTTACATTTTATTATTATTTTTAATTTACATCAATTTCTTGAATGCTTCACGCCGGATGTTCTCAAGAATGACTTATTATAAACTGAAGTCCCTGTAAAAGATAGGCTTTTGGCTTTTCCAACTTTTGTTTTCATCAGATATGTTATTCTATCAAAGTAAGCAATAAATATGTAATCCTAGGAGCTATAAATATGTAATCCTAGGAGCTATTAGAATTCCATAGATTAGGCATACAGAAACATTTTAAAGTCACTGAGGAAGTTTGCAAAGAAATGCTTAACTTATGAACATTTTTTATAAACCAGACCTGTGTCCAATGTCTACTTTGGAAAAGTGAAGAGATTGCCCATAAAAGACATGTGCTCAAAGGGTCCAAGGATTGTTACAAAGAGATGATTGGTCCTCCTTTCCAACTGTCTTGCAAGTCTGATAGAACTTCATCATAAGGGTAAAAGAATAGGGTGCCATTAGACATATCAGACAGATTACTTTGGTTTCTTAGCAGTGATTTAAAGAGCGCTAGGCGCCAAAAGGCGCCAAGGTCCAAAAACGCCCGAGGCGCTAGGCGCTCGCCCAAGCGCTCGCCCGAGCGAAGCGAGGCGCTAAAATATAAAAATATAAAATATAATTAATAAATATAATTATTTAAAATTTTAAATAAAAATATGCTATTAAATTAAGAAAATCTAAGATACAAAATCACAATATCACATTAACAAAAAGTTTCAAAATTCAAAACAATAAAATTTTACATCAAAGTCATTCATCATAATCAATATTATCGTCATTTTCACACAAATCATCTTCATTAAATTTGTCTTCTTCCTCTTGTCCTTCGATTCCTTCCTCTTCATCAAGATATGTTTCATTCTCTATGTCTTCAACAATAGCAGGAGCTGAGCTTGATGCTTTTGCACTCATTTTTCTCTTTGACATCTGTCTTGTATATGTTTGTAATTCTCCAGCACCTGAAGCTCTTGCCACATCTTCCCATGTCAATCTATCATCTTCAAATACAAGCTCGTCTTCAGCATCTTGCAAATTAGCACCCATTTCTCCTACTAATCACTCATTTGAATCATCAATATCTTGTAATGAGATTGAATCAAATCTATTTTTCAAATCATGACGAGTCTTCAAAGCTTGATTATACTTTATGTAAACAAGATCGTGCAATCGTTGATGTTCTAACCGATTTCTTCTCTTTGAGTGAATCTGTCATGTCATATAATTTAAAAATATATTAATACATATATCTAAATAAATAAATTAATTAAAACAAAAATATTTAGTAATACTTACATGCTCAAAGACACTCCAGTTTCGCTCACAACCCGAAGCACTACATGTCAAACTAAGTACTTTGATAGCAAATTTCTGTAAGTTCGGGGTAGAATTTCCAAATAGACTCCACCGTTCAGCTGCAAAATTTATGTTATTATTAGTAATAACATAGTAACATAATATATATGAAATTAATTATATCAAATTATTAATACCTGGAGAGGTAGTTGTCCTGGATCGAACGACAATTGGAATTCCAAAAAGACCTTCAGCATTTTTATATAAAGATAATTCATGAATAATCTTATCTTGAACCTCAAGGCTGGGAACTAATCTTGCAACACACTGATATAACCCACCCAAAACTTCTGCATCAAATCCAACAGATTTAATCTTATAAAAGAATTCAGGGTTCAAATAATATCCTGCTGCATGTAAGGGACGATGAAGTTGACAATTCCATCTTTCGTCAATGATTGTAAAAATTTTCTCATATTTTTCTTCATGTTCATTAAAAGATCTTTTAATCGTCTTTTTTGCTTTATCCATAGCCTCATAAATATATCCCATTGTAGGCTTATTTTCATTATCCACCAACCGAAGGACTCGAACAAGAGGACCCATTACCTTTAATATATAAACTTCATGATTCCAAAAGGATGATATTAAGATGATATCAGCAGCCCTCTTGCCTTTTGCTTCTTTTGCCCATTTGCTTGTCACCCATTTCTTAGAGGTAAACATATTTCTCAGAGTATGTTTTTGACGATGCACGCTCTGTAATGTCAAGAATGAAGTAGCAAATCGGGTAACACCATGTCTCACTAATTCTTTATTCCCTGTAAATTCTCTCATAATATTCAAAGCCCCAATGTGATTATAAAGAAATCCAACAACAAAAATTGCCCTTTCTAAGGTTTTCTTGATTTTTAAGATCTTTCCAATATCCTTCAACATTAAATCAATACAATGTGCTGCACATGGAGTCCAATACAAGTGTTATCTTTTTGATTCAAGCAATTTACCTGAGACAAAGGATAACAAAAATGATAAGACTTAAGAGTTTAACACACTTAATTGAAGATAAAATAATTAACAAAATCAAAAGATGAATATTACCAGCTAAAACATAGTTGCTTCCATTGTCGGTTATGATTTGAACGATATTTTGTTTTCCAATTTCTTCCACGAAGTTGTCAAGTAAATCATATATCTTGTCTCCAGATTTTACAAAAGATGAAGCATCTATTGACTTCAAAAACATAATCCCTAAAGAACAATTAACCATAAAATTAATTATACTCCTGCGCCTCCTGTCAGTCCAAACATCTGACATAATAGAGCAACCATGTGTTACCCATGATTCTTTATGACCCTTTAGTAAGTCATTTGTATAATTCAACTCTTTTTGCAGCAATGGAACTCGCATCTCATAATAACTTGGAGGTTTTAATCCTGTACCATATCTTCCAATAGCTTCAATCATATCCTTAAAACTATCTAAACGAGTTGTACTAAGGGGAAGACCAGCCTGATAGAAGAAGCGACCAATGTGCTGAATTGTTCTTCCTCTTATTTCTTTATTACAAGCATCACTTATATTTGTTTGTCTAAATTTTGAGCCTCCTGCTTGCCCTTGTTGTTTCTGGGATCCTTGAAGCATATATAGATCCATCGGTCCTTTTTTACCTTTCTTAGTACTCATAACTTCTTTTCCCTTTTTGTCGTATACTCTTTTTTCACTTGGGTTAATACTCATAGAATAATCTTCTTCTTCATCCCTGAGATGTTCAACATTGTCTTCTGGTAAATTCTCGTAAGATTCATTCTTTTGTGTCTTCTTTTCATTCATATAACTCAACAACTCTTCTTTTACCTCAGGTGAACATTTTTTGCAAGCTGCTGCATTCTTGAAATTTCCTATTAGATGTTGTTTTGCACGAAAAATACTACCTCTGGTAGTCTTATCGCAGAATATGCAAGTCACTGCATTATGATCTTTCGGATTATTCAAATAATTATACTTCCATGCAGGATCTTTTTTTGATACCATTGGAGACTCTATTGAGTTGCTCTCTACACTTGCCATTTATGTTGAAACCTAACAATAATTTCAAATAAATAAAAATTAATAACATTAAAATCAAAATAATATATTATTAATCTATTAATAGTATTGAAAATTAATCATTTCAAAATTCAAATAAACTTAATATTAAGAGTATACTGTATACTGAGCCTGACGGAGAAACGAGGAAGCAGCGGCGAGCGGCGGCGGGAAAGGGAAAGGGAGCGAGAGGCGCGAGCAGCGGGAGGGCTCGCGGGAGTCGCGAGTAGAGGGAAGGCTCGCGGGAGGCGCGAGCAGTTGGGAGGGCTCACGGGAGGCGCGAGCAGCGGGAGTCGCGAGTAGAGGGAAGGCTCGCGGGAGTCGTGAGCAGCGGGAGGGCTCGCGACTGGGCTCGCGGGAGGCGCGAGCAGCTAGAGGGCTCGCAGGAGGCGCGAGCAGCGACAGCGACGAGCAGCGGGAGCAGGAGCGACGAGCAGCGAGATCGGGAGCGGCAGCGGGTTAGGGTTGGGTAAGGGTTATATCGGTTTAGTTGGTTCGATTGAACCAACTAACAACCGAACCAGGACCGAACCAAACCTAAAATCCTGGTTCGGTCACTTGGTTTACCCAGGCGCTCGCCCGAAGCGCCCAGCGTCTGGGCTCGGGCGAGCGCCCAGGCAGCGCCTGTTTGAAGCGCGCTGCCTAGGACATTAGCGAGGCGCTCGGGCCTCGTCTCGCCCGAGCGCCTAGGCGAGCGCCCGAGCGCCTCTTTCAATCATTGTTTCTTAGATCCTGACAGAAGCTCCAATTTGATGGTAAGAATAAGCTTTGTTGTGCATGCTATGACCCAATTTTAGAACTTATATGGGAACATATTTGGTGACATCCAAAACTGAGTTAGCTTCCATAAGTTTATTGGATCTTGAATGCCTGGCAATACGGTTACTTATATGGTCATATGTGCTTGAGATGTTAGTATATTTTCAGATTCTTGTCTTTTCTTGAACATTTCTTTAAGGCTTTCATGTATAGTGCTGCATCCTTTCCTTTTTCGTCAGGCTTTAGGACCAGCATTTTCTCAATTTGCTGAACCTGTATTCCAAAGGTGCATTAGTCTTATTGAGATTCAGCAATTGGCCAAGGTATTTTGCATTCTCTTTCTCAGTTGATCATTGATAACTTCTATTTCCACTATTACTATGGTATACTGTTCCTTTATGGATTGCTTGATAATCATGACAAGGCTTGCTGTGTTTATTGGGTTTTAATTGGACACATTTACTCAGTAGGCTTTTAATGGAGCAGAGCCATGAGTTTAGATTTATGACTTTGTTTCAATCGTCAATTTTGAAGATAGAAAAAGGGTACTGGAATACAAAGCTTTAATAGTTAATATGGTCATAATAGAAGAATGTACAGTGAATTATTGAAGTAGAATTTTAAAGATGGTGATACTGAGTTGTTTTTTTCTCCTGCTCAGAAAAATTAATGTAATTGATTATTTTGGTGAAACCTACTTATTTTCATGCCATGGTAGCCTATTTGGAGCCTTTAAAGTGAAAGCGTTGATGTGAGCAGGTGGTTGACCTAACTCTTGTAGTTTGTGAGAAAAAAGTCTGAGCAGGTGTACTTTTACAATCCACGCTGTATTTGACTTTAAACTTTATATTACTTAATCGACCCTATATTATGTTATGGTTAAGTGAATTATTCTAAAGGTTAATTGCACCATGCCTTTTTGCTACCCATTTTTATTAGTTGGTGATATTCCCCTTTGCTACTCCCATGTATTTTTCTTGGTGATGTTCTCTTTAATTTTTGAAAATTTCTTAATTGGGGCTATAAGTAAGTTGATATTTGATTTCAGTTTTATATTTTATAAACAATCTGCAATCACCCATCATTTATGTTATTCTCTGACTTTCCAAAACCAGCTCCCATTTCTGCTTGGTTGACTTTTCTTTATTATGCATAAGCCTGACCTGGCAAAGAGATACAATTTCAACCATTCTAACTTTATTGTGGAACATGTACTAAGTTGTCGTGCTGCAAATTTTCTCTCTAATCATATGTTTTTTCCTTAACTTTTCCTACACTACATAATTATTTGGATGATGGTACTCATCATCAAGTTTTATTGACTATTGGATTTAGCTTGTCACTCTGACATTCAATGCTTTAAATGCACAGGTTGATCATGTGACTGCTGGCGTCCAATATGATAAGGAATTCATTGTCTGCTCATTGGATCTGTTATCAGGCCTTGCAGAAGGTCTGGGCAGTGGGATAGAGACCCTGGTACTTTTTACTGACTTAAGCAGTTTACTGTTTCCGAATATATATATATATATATATATATATATATATATGGTGTGGCACAATATATCTTTTTCATTTCAGTTCCCTTGTGACTGAGAGCAACATTTTTCGTGTTTTTCTGAAGCAAAGAACACATATTGCATGTTGTCTTACATGTTAAACATTTAGTGTGGTGTATTCATTTAGATATTTAACAGAATCCTAGTCATGCCAATATTGGCTGCTGTTTGGTAGGTTGCAAAATCCAACTTGAGAGACCTGCTTCTGCAATGCTGCATGGATCAGGCAACTGATATTCGGCAGAGTGCCCTTGCACTTCTTGGTGACCTTGCAAAAGTGAGTGTTTGCATCAATATTAAAATATTAAAGATATATTATGTTAGAAGGCTTCCTCATAGTCATATATGCTTCAATGTATTTAACTTTTGCAATATGACAGGTTTGTCCTGTGCACCTGCACCCTCGTATTCCAGATTTCCTAAGGGTTGCAGCTGAACAACTGGTGCGAAATACTTTGCTAGAAATTGGAAAGTAATCCCACTATATAATAGTTGGGACTTATAGCTTTTTTATTGTTGTTGTAATCCCACTATATATGTTACTTACATAACTTTCTCATGGCAGAATATTACTGCAGTTAAGGAAGCTGTGTCGGTAGCAAACAATGCTTGTTGGGCCATTGGAGAATTGGCTGTCCAGGTCAGTGTGTGTCCTGGTACTAACTTTCCAGTAGAACAAAACTCTCTTCATAAATTTTTCTACTGTGTTCAATCTAGCAAAATTGTACTTGTCCTCTGAAATTCAGATAAGGTTGGGAAATTGTTCACCCCCCTTATGTCATATCTACATGGATTTCTTTTTCAGTTGTAACAATAAATGATTATCATTTCATGGCATCGAGCATGCCAATTACTTTTGGGCATGGTATGTTCCATTCTGTGACAACATGGTGGACCCAACTGGGGGCATTTGGCCTGGCCATGTGTGCTGACCAGCATATCATTCCTTGAAATCGTTGTCATCACTGGAAATTCAGCCATGTTACAATTAGCAAGAGAAATAATAATGGTACGGTTCCTTTGGCAGTTGCCTCCTAGTTTAACAGATCTATATGCAAATAATAGATGCCTAACCCTACAACCTGCACGATCATTGACAGCTCGTGCAGGGCCATTGATTTCACATTGGAGAAATACTTTGAAGTCTTAAACTTTATTATGGTCTGGGTTTCAGTTCATGATACTTCCTGTCACCTTTTTCTATCACTTCTCATCATTTATTTGTACATTACAAAATGTAATTTGAAGTGAGCAGCAATATTCCAACTATGATGCATATGTTTGATTCTCTTGGTTTCACATTGATTATCATGATTCTTATTCATGTCGAGCTGGTTTTGTTTTTCTTCCAAATATTTTGTTGGTTTAATAATTATACGTATTGGCAATGATTGGTCAACCTTTTCATTATTAAAAGAATCATCCACTATTATGTTATAAGTTGCAGCTGTGCATATTATATTTCCCCTTAAATAGTTGATATAAAGTTTATAATAAAAAAGGTTGCTAATTGTTGTTTCTTGTGCGTTGCTATTTTTGTGTATGCATCTATTATGAAGATTCCTAGACAAGTATTTACAGCACAAGTATTCGGAGTACTTGGGTTGAACATTTCTTGAACCACTGTGTCAATAGTATACCACAAGAATCACAACGACATACATTGGAGTGAACTGGAATTAGTTGCAGCAGCTTGCCAGCTAACAACTAGCTGGTTAAGGTCTAAATCTCTCGTGTTGTTAAGCACCAATTACTTCAGTAAACAAACACACGAACATAAAGGTTGCATCTATGCAATTCCATATTGTTCCATTAAGGTTGTTTTCAACCCGGCCTATATACTATTTTGTATGAAAGTGAACGTAAGCTCCATAGTATCGATATTATCTACACTACCCTTTACCAGAATAATGGGCTAGGATCAAGTATTTTTAAATATTTGAAATGTGCATATTGAGCATACTTGAGGGTTTTACTGATATTATGAATTCTGATTCTTGAAGCTGCTGTTACCAAATTTCAGGTTCGTCAAGAAATTGCTCCAGTGGTTTTGACAGTAATATCATATTTGGTCCCTATTCTCCAAAATGCAGAGGTGATTTATTCTCTATTCTGATTGTCAACACTTTAGCTCAGTTTTCCTTATGACTTATTTGTCTCCAGGGTTTGAACAAGTCATTGCGAGAAAATAGCGCTATCACCCTTGGGAGGCTTGGCTGGATTTGTCCAGAACTTGTGGCACCACATGTGGGACACTTTATACAGCCATGGTGCACTGCTTTATGCATGTAATATACTCTTTCTTTACCAGTAGCTTCTCAATGTTGGTATAAATTAGTGCCTAGCATACATTTACTAGGACTTAGTTTGTTCCTTTGTTCTCCTTGTTAGCCACTGTTGAACTGCTTGTTGTTCATGAAGTTTGAAAGCATGTTTTATTCCAATAGTTTTCTGTACCATCCACAGTATTCTAAACTTCTTTATTGGATCCTATGCAAAATGAGAAAGATTTGCAGGTATACCTGATGGCTATAGTTTCAAATGAATCTCTTTTTTTTTTCTCCAAAATTATGTGATGTGGTTTAGTTAAACAAGTTTTACAGGGTACCCTTGACTTGAAACCCAGTGTAAATCTGTTCATACATTAAGTTATTGCTGCACACTGGGAGCTGATTTGCTCATTTTTCTACATGTCCTTGACGAGTACCAAGAATTTTTAAATTTTCTTCAGGAGATCCCAGAGGAATTAATTCAGAAAGTACATATGAATCATTGACTTAATGAGGCTACTTTTGAATCATTGACTAGTTGAGATTCCTAGTGTTAAGTGGAAGTGGATCAGTAGTTGACTGATATTCTCCTAAACAGAGCTAAATTGCAGGACAAGATCCTTGTAACTGGCCTTATATAATTTAGACATCATAATAGTGACTGCCAAATTCTAGGTAGACGATTGTGGCCAGTAGTGAAGATTTTTCTCTGTTTGCAGACCTTGGTCTTTGCTGTTGATGTTTTCTGCACGTAATTTTTTCCCCTATCCAAGGAGTAGCTTGGAACTTCAAGTAGTTACTAATTTTCTTGACTTTGATAATAACTTGATAATTAAACACAGCCATTACTTGGCTTTCATTACCTTTCCGGATTTTCTTATCCAGAAATTTTATGTACAGGATACGAGATGATTATGAAAAGGAAGATGCATTTCGCGGGCTTTGTGCAATTGTATGTTTACCTTTTTCTTTATCTGCTTATCTCATTTTCTTCATGATGTTCATGAATGGTGCTTGGCAACTAAATGTTTGTGATATCTGTAGGTAAGAACAAATCCTCAAGGTGCTGTGAATTCACTTTCATACTTGTGTAAAGCTGTTGCTAGTTGGCATGTAAGGAACTCACTCTAAATTTTTAATGTCAAAATCGAACTAGTTGTACCTTCTAGCTGAGTTTTGCTCTTACCTTTCAGGAAATACAGAGTGAGGACCTACACAATGACATTTGCCAAGTTCTGAACGGATATAAACAGGTACAGACTAATTTTTTTACATGCCACATACTGTCCTTTTTTTTTTTCTTTTTTCAAATTGACATTAAAAACTGTAAAATTATGTGCTTTAGATGCTTCCGAATGGAGCATGGGAACAGTGCATGTCAACTTTAGAACCTCCAGTGGTGCAGAGATTGTCAAGATTTCAAGTGTAACATTACTGAAGGAGAACCTCCTTTTACTGGTTGTCGTACTCCTATGTCGCATGAGTGAGATGGATGATAGTGTCTTGGTTGGAGGAATGGTTATATGAATTGTGGAAGGTTTACTTGTGCCAGTCCCAGAAAAGTTCCTTTGCGGATAAAATCATACCAAGGCAAAATGAGTCAGGTCAAAATTGTTTTCTATATGAGGCCAAGGTGGGGTGTGTTTGGTTACCTTGAGAAACCAGATTGATCCTTTTGTCATATGCTCATAACAAATTTTTTTTATATTGTTTCAGTGGGCTCGTTTTTGCTTGTAACTCCACTGATTTGTTCGATGGCATTCATCGACTAGTCGAAAGGTTTTGTAATTTATATGTGATCGTTTCATGTGTAACAGTGTTGGTTTTGTCGGTAGGGTTTGTAGCTATTTTTGAACGATTTGTCGGTGCGCTGTACTGCAGGCTTATAGTGACTCCATTTAAATTTTGCTTGTACTTCATACTTGTGGTGCTTGAATTCTTGGAAGATTCGACCAAGATTTCCATTCCTTGGAGGTGTCTTATGTCTTGGAATGGTACTCCACCAATATTGGAAACCTTTTTTTTTGGTTGCATACAATGTGCCCACGTTGTAACGGTGTATTAGAAGGAGAGTGTAATGCCCTTAAGTTATCATGAAAAAAAAGCTTTATATTACGGTAAATTACCCGAATAATCTTTGGATGTTGTATTACATCTGACAGTCGACAACCGTCCTTACAATATTTAGCTAGTGGAAATATAGAATATGGATACTTGTTTTGGATTCACAAGCTTCTCAGACGGGTGTCTGGATTTATATTCGGATCGACTTCCAGATCCTGACCTCCTGTGCAGATTGTTGTCTCCCAATCCCAACCGCTCTTATCATCTCAACCATTTTTGTTATGATTGAAGCCAGGCAGGAGGCAGTTTTGATGATAACGTCCCCACGCCCCCCTTTTCGTCCTCCCCTCAACCGCCTCTCTCCGCTGCTACCCCCTCGTTGTCAAGCCCATGAGGTGATGCAGAGCCGCACGGTCTCTGCCACCGATGACAAGACGGGGCGGTGTAACTGCTCTCCGCCGCTCCGCCGCATCTGAACCCCTGCTACGAGCGCCGGGTTTCGCGGGAAGAAGAAGTACCAGGCCCACGATCCCCGGAATCAGTTCGAGGTTCGCGACAATGTCCAGCTCCAGAAGGTGCCGCCACATCACGAAGACAGAAGACCGTCGTCGTCCCAGGATGTTTCCAAGGCTGTCGACGCTGTAGGAGTAAGGAACTCAATCCTTTTGTCTTTGTTTCTTTTTGATAAAATGGGCTGCGAATGCAGCCTTCAGCAAGTAGACAGGCTATCCTCGTTACTCGAACTCTAGTCATCGAGATTGCGAGTCGATGTTTACAGTCTTACCCGTATAAACATAGACCCCTAGATGGCTAAGGAGAAATACACAAAGGTTCGTTCCTTCCAATGCAATTTATTTTTGCCTTGAACTTCAGATTTTGATGGTATTTTAGGGTTCTGCCATGAATTGGGTGGTACATTTTAGATTTAGAAATTAGTATGTTCTCTTAAGAATTTGATGTTTGGTAAAGCACAATTCTCCCTTCTACCTGTGCAGTTTTTGCTAATAAAGTGGAGATGTCGCTTTAAAAGTTCAGCTGATTCTAGTGTTGGATCAAGTTCTGTTAGCTACGTACCTAGATGGTTTGTGAAGAATCCTTTTTCCTTCTGGGTTACTATTAGAAGCATGGTTCCTGTCGCTTAGTTTAATAGAAGTTTTAGCCTATACTATCTAATGTGACCCTTTTTCCTCAGCTAGATACATTTATGTCGAGTTTCATCTTCCTGTACAGACTGTTCCAAACCTAGAGTTAGCTTTTGATGGCTTACACAAAGTTATGAGCATGTAACTTATCATAGAGTAATTGTTTTACAACATCTGTTCGGCACTTCTAAATCACATTGTTGGAATGGATCTTGTTTGAAGTTCTTTGGCTAAAAATTAGCCCATGATTATGAATGATCAACATGAAATCTATAAATTATATAAGGTGTTCCTGGTAGATCATGCCTTCATCCTTAAAGCTGAACCTTTTAGAATTAAGTATAGGGATGAAGATTCATGTGCTGATCTGCCATTGGTATACTACTTATTTTGGTCTGTCTTCACTGTGAAATGTGTGCTTGATCTATTTCATATTGGTGTGTGTGCAAGTGCTCGTTTTGAAAAGGTGCTAGCATAAGTTTTATAAGATTGAAATACCAACACGCTATGAAGCTTTCCATCTCACAATATGTTCACAAATGACTTAATCAAAACATGTCAGTTCATATCAACCTTTCTCTTTTTATGAAACACAAGTATCACGTATAGCTTACTGTTTGCAATAAAATTGAGAAGCTTTGACATTTGTAGCTCTATTCAGGCAATGAAATACCAGTATGAAATACAAGTATGACTTCATCAAAACATGTCAATTCATATCAAGCTCTCTCTTTTTATGAAACACGAGTATCATGGATAGCTTACTGTTTCCAACAAAATTGAGAAGATTTGACATTTGTAACCCTATTCAGGCAATGAAATACAGATTGAATGAAACTGACATCCTTGTCTTCTCCCCACACTGAGAAATAACACTTGGCTCCTTGATTTTTCTTTCATCTTCTGAACTTAGGAGTCTGCTTGCTGCAGTGTGGATGTATCCTGTCATTGGTTGGAAAGAGAGAATTAGATAGGGATGGATATTACTCTCTATTCATGGTCATGTATAGTCTAGGGAGGAACTTTTGAATGTGTAAAACATATTTGATTGCTGGTGCTACCACAACAGTATGAGTGGTGGTGTATAATAAAGAATCTGATGATTGCTGATAATGTTTATTTGTTTGAATCCACAATTGTTTTGAAAGAAGACCAAAATGCTATATGTATTTGTAGCTGACTATATGATAAATATCATTTCAGAACTCTATTGTTGGTGATAAACCTCAAGAACTTATGAGAAAAAGGGAGTTAATCTAGATGCATTTATGGAAGAAAGCTAACCCTCCTGTAGGACTTGGAGCTACCATAGACATATTAATCAGGGTGGTGTATGAGCATAAGAAAGTATTAAACACAAGTTGAAAATGGTGTGGACAGTGCTACACCATAATGATGATCCCGAATTAGTTTCTAGAAACCAAAATGCCGAACTTTATGAAGTTTTTCTGAAGGTATTCATTATGTCATGTATCATTTTCTAAATTTTTTATTCTTCATGGACTTCGGTATTTGGTTCTAAGTTGCTGGTCTT